CTGTTTGCTGCGACACTGTGAGCTGTTCCTGTCAAAGTATATGCGTTAACAGTGGACGAGTGAACATCAAGCGTTTGGATTGGGTAGTCCATCAGCCCAATACCAACAAACACTCCACATGATTTTAGGTCATCAGGTATGATACCGGCATCTTCAAAGGCTTCGTGTGTTACTTCCAACAATATTCTCTGTTGAGGGTCCATTGATGCCGCTTCTTTTGGTGATGTTTTAAAGAAGGTGTTGTCAAAATGTTCGATTCCATCTACAAATCCGCTTTTTCCGGACACCATTTTTCCTGGCTTAGTCTGATCGCTATCGTGAAATTTCTCAACTGACCAACGCCCAGCTGGAACGTCCGTAATGCAGTCCTTGCCATTTCGAAGAACATCCCAGAACTCATCGGTTGATGTTACGCCACCTGGCATTCGACATCCTAATTTTCAAAGAAATAAAAACAAAAGGGAATACCTTTCCAATTTTCGTTGTAACTCCATGAATTTATTTACATTATTGCGAGCTGAAATATAGCTAGAGAGAGAAAATAGAATCATTAAAAAAATAGCCATATCTTATGTGTGTCTTTCTTATTCTTCCAACTTACATTATTCTTTCAGTATCAACGAACCAAATACATGCTTTAGGCATGAGTAAGGAATGAACACAAACATATACATATGTGTTGAAGAAATATTATTTGATTAAATTTATATAACAAATTTTGGGATTCGAAATTCAGCCTGCTGCCACCTTACTATCCGGTTTGGTTTCCGCCCTGGAACTATGGTGTGAGCTTACAGTCTGCACAGAGCCCACTGTAATAATATTTCAGTAATGTTATGTATTTTCTACATTTATTGACAAACTCTAAGGATTTTACAAATGCAATAAATGTAGTAAAACATATTATACACAGTTCTTAGGTTACGGACAGGGAAAACCCTAGGGCCTAGAGTCAACTGATTTTGAAGTGCAGCGGACTAAGTTGGCAACTGGCTGGGTGGCAAAGCCTAAGTGATAACAGACTGGATAGCAATATATTGGTTATCAAAATACCTGGTCGCAACATGGCATGTGACGTAACAGGCCGGATCCAGTAATTTCAATGTGATAGATAATATTAACTATACAATTTTGTCTCAAATGTCTAATTGCAGAAGAATATTTCAGGTTAGGCCTAATTTTCTACTTATATTTACATTTAGGCCTACAATCCATTATTTTAGGCATATTGATATTCTATAAAAAAAAAAATAAACAGAATCAACCTAATAGAAAAACTTACCTATACCGACGATGGCAATTTGATCGTCATTGTTGTTTCCATTCATGATGTTGTATTACAACTGAACACTAGTAGTATCTAAAATTTCAAAATAAAGATTAGTATAATTTTTCAAATTATATCCGTAAAAATGATTTTTGTTTGTAATAATAATAATAATAATAATAATAATAATAATAATAATAATAATAATATTTAATAATAATAATAATCAGCTTTTTATATAGCGCAAATTACAATTAAGTCTCTAAGCGCTTAAGCTCTTCCTAATAAATAGGTGAGTTTTGAGATGTAATTTGAGATGTAATTGATGTGCAATTCACTACATTCTTTGGTAGCTGATTCCAAAACTTTGGCAATGCATGTTGAAAGGATCGCTCTCCATATGATTTGGTTGAAACTTTAAAATGATTGAGAAGCAGTTTTGTGCCAAAAGGAAGCTGTTTTGAAGGAATGTAAATGCCTATGTCATCAAAAAATCTTCAAATAACAAACACATCAATCTATAATCAAAATTGATGAATTTGATTGATTGATTGATTGATTGAATAGATGATTGATTAAGGAGTATATAATTTTTAACATAAATCAATTTAACATAAATCAATAACTATAAATACCATAAATATTAACACATCTCTAAAAGAATGCAGTGACTATGCTTTCGCAAAGGCATTTGGCCCTTTCGTAAACCCGCCGTGCCAACCTTGAGCCGCCGTGTCCAAACTTATTTAGTTTTTACGCATGTGCTAGAATTTTGGGTCATAAATGCAATCAAGTTTATGAAAAGTGTGTCGCGTGTCGCGTCCCTGTTTCTTACGGGGGTTAAGAAGGGACTTTCGATTTTGACGATCTTAGAGAGTAATCTAAAATATGCGAAAAACCTTTGACAGGGATTTCACAACAGGAAGAACAAGGTTTAGAAGAAATATTATTTGAAAAACAAAACCTCCAAAAGATTATGAATATGGAGGAGAAGGGAACTTTTGCTAGGACATATGCCTAGCTAGTATAGTAGGCGACGATATAGCCTATGGCCTACAACATAGCCCATGTCTTGCCCTAAAAAGGTCTCCGATCCATAGTGTTTTAGGTTGCCCGCGTTGCAGCCTCGGCTGGCTGATATAATAGCAATAACAAACTTAAAAATTCCAATAAAAATAAGCCTAAGATAGCCGCCTTGTCTCGTCATATGTCCTAGTTTAAAATTAAAGTAGGATGTCTAACATTGCCTATTGTTCAACCATTGATTAAGTTTCTTTCTATAAACTCGATTGCGTTTACGGCGCAAAATCCTAGCGCATACCTAGAAACTACATAAATCGGGCACGGTGGATAAGGGGTTGGCACGGCGGGTTTACGAAATGGCAAAATGCTATGCTGAGGCGTAATAATAATATAATATGCATACGACGATGTAATGAGAATGAGCACATTGGCGTAGGCCTACGCAGTCTTGACAGGCTATGATTATGCCGAGTCAAGTATTATGAAGAATAGCAGGGATAACAAATTCTCAGTTAATAATTAAAGAGTTAATACAGTGGATAGGTATTACTATGATATTATACTATACAATAGAATGACTTACAATACTTAAAATCACTATAACAACACATTAGTGACTAAATACAACTATGCTTTGTGGCCAATTCAGTGAAAACTGACTAATCTCGTTCTACCTACCGTCATGAAAGTTACCGTACATTGGTGAAATGTCTATTTGATTTTTGAAGTACAAAATACAACAAATCGTTTTTACATATAGGCGCCCAAGACTGTTTTAATTGGAAAATTAAACTTCCTTGGAGTAAGCATAGCTACTTCGCTAAGATTATGGTTAACCTAATTGCTTGAACAAAGCCAAAATCTGCTGTTTATTAATAAAAATTTTAGTATCCATAGGTAACTCTCATTAGGTTAAGCCATGTTGTCTATTTCTGTGAATAAGGCCAACATTTATGTACTATGAAAATCACTTAAATGTATAGCTTGTACGCGTGTTGGGAAAGGATAGCTGAAGCATTGATCGTGTTTATATTTTATTTGAGAGAACAACCGCTTGTTTGGTACTCAAACTTTATCACAATCTTGTTATTGAACTTCTGCAGTGTCTTTCTTGTAAGTAGTATGACAGTCAATATAGTTCTAAGAGGCTTTTTGGTTGTGCAGTCTTCATTTTATTGATGTCTAACATGTTTCATTAAGTTTTAAGCTTGCAATGTGTAGGGCCATATTACAATACACAATCTCATCTTCTAAAAAATAAATCCAAAACCAATATAATATACTGTACTGTAATATAAAATGAAATTAAAATTAAGTAAAAATTTAACTAATATATACATATATATATATATATATGTATATATATATACATACATATATACACATACACACACATACATATACACACATATACACATACATACACACACACATACACCCATACATACATATACACACACATATATATACACACACACACATGTACATATATAAATAAATAATAAATAAATAAATAAATAAATAAATAAATAAATAAATAAATAAATAAATAAATAAATAAATAAATAAATAAAATTAAAATAAAATTACACACAGAGGGAAAAAAAATAAATGTAAAAATTTTACAGAAAATGGGGGGGGGGAGAGAAACATAATATTTCATATATATACATATACACCCACATATACATATATATACATATACATACATTTAAATATATACATATACATACATACATATAAATACACACACATATGTATGCCCACCCATACATACACATATACCTACACACATTTAATAGAACGTTTAAACAGCTCTCAACCAATTTCATTCTTTTTTTTTCTTTGGCATAAGTCAAAATTGTAAATTGTAAAGGGAAAAACAACACCCATTTCATCGTTATTTACTGCTTGTATGTTTATCTCAGCAGTAAATCTCATTTTTTCATTCTGATGAAACTACTGTTTTATTAGAAATGTTAACAACTTTGTATTTTAAATAAACATTTAAACTACACTACACATTGACAAATCAATCTAATTTCTTAATAATTAAAAATTAAACTTGCCTCATAGCTAAAAAAAAAAAAACCGACCCCGGCCCGCCCTGGCGAATATCTCAACACGACCTCACCAACGATGCGTCTCATTTCATGGTGAGACCTCACATTTGAATTGTTCAGTATTGCATAAGGAAGACCACAATAAATAAACACAAACATTAAGTAAATATAAATAATAATCTTCAATATCTCAAGTTAACATATCATAATCTTCAATATCTCAAGTTAACATATTACTATACTGTTTACTGAATCTTTTGGGTATCATTTATTTATCAATTGTATTTTAACACATGAATTTCATTCTGTCACAAGACAAACAATCTTTAGAGTTAAGGTTGTTTTGTTTCTTAGTAAAATTGAATTTACTTTTTTCCAGAAGTTTTCTGTAATTTTACAATTCCAAAAAAAATGTGTAATTGTCTCAGGCTCTAAATGACAAAGGGTGCAAACATTTGAATTTATTATTTTAGTTTTAAAAAGAAAATCATTTAAGGGCAGTATTCTATGTACAATCCTATATTGGAAATATCTGATTCTAGCAGATTTCAGACATCTGTTAGGGTTTAAATAGATTTCTGGCCAGTCTAAATCAAAATCATTGAACATCCTTTCCCATTTGCTTTTAGCAACTGGGTTTTTAAATACTTTATTTTTACTTTGATCAGAAATAAGTTTGCATACTTTAGAGGTTTGCATCATTTCATCTAACAGATGTTCTTGAGTATTTTTTATTTTATTGTTTATTTGGAGATTTTCTTTCCAAGCTCTAGGGATAGCTTGAGTAATAGACAGGTATTCCAAAAAGTTAACACTAATTTCATATTTTTCAGTAAAATCATTATAATTCATGATTTTCCCATTGGAGTTAACAATGTCAGCTACAGTTACTATGCCGTTATCTATCCAATTAGATTTTATACATGTTTTACCATCAATTTTTATTAAAGAGTTATTCCACAGAATTTGATTTTCAAAATTAGAATATGGGGTTTTATAGGTTTCTACACACCACATAGAAATAACATCTTTTATAAAACAATTTTGAATTTTAGTGATAGATTTTTCAGTACATTTCATATTGCAATACCAAAAAAAATTTCCACCAAGGTGTTTCATGTAGAGCTTAAAAAAGAGTTTCCATGTGCCGTTGTTATTCAAGTTCAACAACCGTTTGATCCACATAATTTTTAGACCTTTTATAAAAGAGTTAATGTGGCACATTCGTAGCCCTCCATCAATATAATCTCCAATTATTGTTTTTCTACTAATTTTATCTGGTTATCCAGACAATACAAATTTATAAATTGTGGATTCTAGATTCCCAATAAAGTCAGCAGGGGGATTTGGCAAAACTGAAAAAAAAAGCAAATTGTGACATACCCAGAGACTTAACAATGGTAATTTTCCCGAAAGGTGTCAAATCACGCATGGACCAGATTCGAAGAATTCCTTTAAGTTTTTCAAACTTCGGGATAAAATTTAGTTCAAAAAGATTGTCAAGTGTAGTGGTGAAAGTGATGCCTAACACACTAACTGGGCCATCTGTACATCGTAAATCTGTCCCAGTTAAATTTAGAGGTTTTTTTCTATACACTCCTAAAGGAAGTACAACTGACTTTTCAAGATTAATACTTAAGCCAGAGTAATGTTTAAATTCTTTCAGGATATTTAGTGTGTTTTGAACCGAGTTGATATTTTTTAAAAACAGAGTGGTGTCGTCTGTATAAGCACTTATTTTTACCTCCATGTTTTCAATTTTGATACCTTCAATGTCATTACTATTTCTTATCTTTAAATTTAAAATTTCACTACATAGTATGAAAAGGTATGGACTAAGGGGACAGCCCTGTCTAAGACCCCGACTTACTGAAAAAAAGGAGGAAGAATGCCCGTTGTTGATTACACATGAAGAGATATCTGAATATAATACCTTAACAAAATCAATAAAATCTTTCCCAAAATTAAAAAACTCCAATACTTTCAATATGAATGGCCATTCTAGTTTATCGAAGGCTTTTTAAAAGTCAGCCATGAGGATCATACCTTCCATGTTGTTCTTGTTTATATGTTCAATAATGTCAAGAGTAAGTCTGATATTTTCACCTATGAATCGGTCTTTTAAGAAGCCAGTTTGCGAATGATGGATAATGTGAGGGAGCACTTCTTAAAGACGATTAGTGATGATCTTAGCAATTATCTTGTAATCCGTGTTGAGTAAGGTTATCGGCCGCCAGTTTTTTAGATATGTAGAGTCTTTCTCTTTTTTTGGTATAAGATTTATAATACCTCTACGTTGATCAGAAGACATGATGCCATTTTGAAACGAGAAATTGCATGACTCTATAAAGAACTGGCTTATATCACAGAAGAAAAATTTATACCATTCGGTTGGAAAACCATCTGAGCCCGGGGATTTGTTATTTTGCATTGATTTTAACACTTTGAGACATTCATTTATTGTGAATAGTCCTTCACATGATTTTTGTTGGTTTTCATTTAATTTTTGACAGTTGTCATCATTAAGGAAATTCTCAACTATACATGCTCGTGGATTTTCTGATTTATACAAATGCTCAAAGAATTTTTTTCCCTCTTCTAAAATATATTTTTGATCAGTAACAATTGTTTTATCATCCCTAATAAGTTTTGTGACAACTTTTTTGCATTGATTTCTTTTTTCCAAATTTAAAAAGAAACGCGTATTTTTTCACCCTCTTCTATGTGCTGTGCACGGGATCTTATCATTGCGCCTTTGGTTTTTATTTCATATGGTTTCAATTTCAGACTTGCATTCTTCAATATTTTTTAAAAGTTGATGTGATGGAGAGGTACCATATAGTTCCTCAAGGCTATTTAAGACATCTTGTACTGTAAATTATTTAACTGTTTTTTACGTTCTTTTGCAACCTCAGAAGAATATTGTATTATTAGCGATCTAATCTTAAATTTTAGATAGTCCCAAAAAAGACTCGGATTTAAGTCTGGATTGTTTAGCTTTGTTTCTCTAATACAGGTTTTTACTTTGTCTATATATTTTAAATCTAGAAGAAGGGAGGTGTTGAACTTCCAAAACCCTCTCCCTCTAGCCCCGTTGGCTGGGGTTATTTCTATGGAGATAATTGAATGATCAGTTTTAAAACCACTCTTAATATCACTTGTGTTGATTTGGGCAAAGAGGTTATGCGAGACGAGAAAAAAGTTTTTCAAACTTCGGGATAAAATTTAGTTCAAAAAGACTGTCAAGTGTAGTGGTGAAAGTGATGCCTAACATACTAACTATCTGTACATCGTAAACCTGTCCCAGTTAAATTTAGAGGTTTTTTTCTATACACTCCTAAAGGAAGTACAACTGACTTTTCAAGATTAATACTTAAGCCAGAGTAATGTTTAAATTCTTTCAGGATATTCCATCCGTCTTTCCATATCTTTTCCGTTTTCTCTTCACTATGAGTTTCTTGAATAAAAAAAATTGAGTAAATTGAGTTACTAAACCAATTGAAAACTTGTGCACGCTTTTTTGGGTTGGCAAGGCCTCTAACATTCATTGAGCAAACACTTACATTATTCATCTAAAGAAAAAAAAAATTAAAATTTGGTAATAATTAGAGCTGTAACAAAATGGTGACCTATTATGAGAACTTACTAAGCCTATTATATTTATATATAATATTTCAATTAAGTTTAAACAAAAAAAGCAAAAAACAAACAAGAAAACGCAAAAAAAAAAAAAAAAATTGCGCGTATGCGAGTCCCATTAACATCTGGGACTTTATCTTCATGGCTAAAGTGTTAGATGTCAAAAAAAACTTTCTTCCATTCTATACCCAATTTTCATGAATATAAAGTACAGTAAAAGAACGGCTATTCTGCAAATTTAATCCATGTTGCATTTGATTGGCTTCTTTTCCTGAATTCAAGAACAAGCTCAGTGCCGACAACTTTAATTCTGGTCGACATTCCATTTGATCTTAGTTCCTGTGCTTTAGAAGCGAGTTTTCCACGTTGTTGTTTCATTTTCGGTGGAAGATCCGTTTATACTGAAACTGGACGTGTGCCTTCTTTATACGGACGTTTCCTAGCCAGATATAGGATATGGTCCCTATTCGCCATACAAACGAAACGTACTATAATAGGGTCTGGCCCTTTTACTGCTCCCATAATATGACGGCGAGGCAGCCGGTGTGCATTCATAATTGGTATGTCATTTGCTTTTTCGATAGGCATACCAAGATCCTTATGTAATACCCCTCTAATAACAGAGTAATAGTCGACATTTTGCTGGCTCTCGAGCTGAACATTGTAAAAAAGAAGATTCTGTTTCCTATCATGGATTTCCATTAAAAGCATAGCTTTTTGCAAATTTTCAAAGTTATTGTTGTCTTTTTCATTTCGCTCAATTTGTTTATTGTTAATTTCTTCTAGAATGCTTGCCTGGAAATCTTGGGCACTTTCTAAGACTTTAATTTTGTTTTCATTTTGTAATGAAAGCTTTCCAAAATTTACTATTTTCCTCTCCATGGTATCCATTCTTTTATTGAGGTTGGTTTCCAGTCTTAGCATAATGGTTTTCAAATCACTATTGCTTACCTCATCAGTTGTTTCATATCCTGTGTCCGTAGGCCCTGGTGAATTCGAGCCCTCAGTTGCACGTGTTTCAGACGCCGGGCATGTCTCGCCCGCACAACAGCTTCACTGGTGCTACTTGGCTTAGCTGGCGGGTCAGGTTTAGTAAGTTCAGATTCTTGTTGTTTATTTGTTTTATTCTTCTTTTTTGATGTTCCAGAGTTCCTTAATAGGTAACCTGTAATTTTATCCGCCTCACGATCTTGGCCGCTCATTATTATCAGTAGATTTTGTGGGTTTTAGGAAGAGCGAGAAGGAAAGCTATTCTTCCACAGAGGCAGCCATGTTAAAAAAACATGTCTTTCTTGTAAGTAGTATGTAAGTAGTATGACAGTCAATATAGTTCTAAGAGGCTTTTTGGTTGTGCAGTCTTCATTTTATTGATGTCTAACATGTTTCATTAAGTTTTAAGCTTGCAATGTGTAGGGCCAAAATGAACGTAGCATGCTTATCGAAAATTTTTAAAATATGCCGTAATTGCACTCTTCGCAGGATTCGAATATCAAATAAATACTAAATCTACACAAACCTTATAAAACCACATTTTTGCTATATTTTGCTAGAAATATATCAATATATTTACGTATATATCTGTTAAGGAGACACATCGTCACATACTATAAAACACACATTCTTCATATTATTTCATTTAATTGGCCTAAGAAAGGGTTGGAGTATAATTAAACTATGATTGTAGGAATAATTAATATACAATGCAAACACAAACCGTTTATGATATTAAATCAAAATAAATGTACTTAAACGAAAGTTGTATTGTACAGTGTTATTTCATGAAGTGCTATTAAGTAATGGCAGATACAGCAGTATGAATAAAGTACTGACAGAAATCAAGGTGGAGGACACTATATGGATCTGAATCCCATGTGAAAGTACACGGAAAAGAAAAACAAGAAAAGATTCGGAGGAGTCATTAAAATTTGCTCACCAGCGGCTATTGACTAACACAATACAGTAAATGAAAAGAAACAGAGGAAAGCATAATTCGGCGGCAGATTTCTCCGTTAATCATCTGTTACGATATAAACGCTTTGTATATACCAAATTTTCTCATGAAATAGAATAATTATTAGAACCTCTAACATCCTGAAATGCCTCTGCGACTATAGCTACAGGCTTCACCTCTGAACCCTTGCCATGACCTTGTTGCCTTTATGTTTTTTTTTTCAGATAATCGAATATGCCTATCTCCTATCCTAAATTTTTGAAAATTAAAAATAGTAGCAGGATAAATGAAGATTACATTAAATTTATCTCTGAGACTGCCATTCTGGCCACCTAGAAATGCTAGAACCATAATCTTTCGTTCCATCACCAGCATTTTAGGGGTTCTAAACAATTCCCTCAAGTTTGTTTTTTAAACTTCTGATCAAGGTGTTTTAAAAGAGTGTTGTATGCTATATTGGATGATATCATAAGTTAGTATTCCCCTATCCCAGCAGAAAATTCTAGCATAATTTTCCATCATTTGGCATATTCTCATCAAACTCATACAAATATAATAAACAATATAATACAGACGATGGAACCATATTAAAATAACTAAGGTAAATCGACAAAGAAAAACAACAAAACACGAAATGATCAATTGAAAAGTATTAAGACATGGCCTATAATAAGTTTACCATTGTAATTATCATTAACACATATATAACCAAATATTCT